TATCTATCTATCTATCTATCTATCTATCTATCTATCTATCTATCTATCTATCTATCTATCTATCTATCTATCTATCTATCTATCTATCCTGTGTTTCTCAACCTTGGCAACTTGAAGATGTCTGGACTTCAACTCCCAGAATTCCCCAGGCAGCATACCAGGGGTTGTGACACTAAATACATATAAATATATATATGTATAATCTATATCTATATCATCTATCTCTATCTCTATCTCTATCTCTCTGTCTATCTATCTATCTATCTATCTATCTATCTATCTATCTATCTATCTATCTATCTCTCTATCATCATCTATTTTCTCTTTCATTATCTATCTATCTCTGTGTCTATTTTCTCTCTCTTTTCTCTATATCTATCTATCTATCTATCTATCAATTTCTCTCTCTGTCTGTCTCCATCTATCTGTCTGTCTGTCTCTATCTATCTATATCTATCTCTATCTATCTATCTATCTATCTATCTATCTATCTATCTATCTATTTTCTCTCTCATTATCTATCTATCTCTGTGTCTATTTTCTCTCTCTTTTCTCTCTCTTTTCTCTATATCTATCATCATCTATTTTCTCTCTCATTATCTGTCTATTTTCCCTCTCTCTTTTCTGTCTGTCTGTCTGTCTATCCATCCCTATATATATATGCAGCTGTATCTCTGTGTGTGTGGGTTCCAGCATAACTCTGGAACGCCTGGAGCATTTTCAAACAAACTTGATACACAGATGATTTACTCTCTGGGAAAAAAAACACATTGTGGGGGTAAGACACCCCTAACACCCCTTGGGGGGCGTGTTCCGTTAAGATGCAGCCTGTTGTGCCTTAAAATGGCTTCTACCGTACTGCTGTAAAATGGCTTCTAATGTACAGCACAGTGGAGTTGCCATGGTAACGGCTCCACAGTACTCCACAAAAGGGCTCCCCCTGGGAAGGTGGAAAATCCCGGCTTCCCGGCTGTAGCTAGGCGGAGGTGATCTTGCCATCCGCTTCTGATACCGCTCAGTCGAGAAGGGAGGCGAAGGCCCAGCCAATTTTACTCTATCTCCCTTCCCAAACAGGATCGCCGGTCCTTTCGGGCCCCCTGCCCCACAGATAAGGAGACCTCTCTGTAAGGCTTGACTGAGTTAAAAAAAAAACTCGACTCTTCTGGCCAGAGGAGGCGTGGCCAAGACTTTTTCTAACTCAGTCTCAAGGCTAATGGACAAAAGTTAAGCCGTGCTTGGATTCTCCAAGCAGCGCACAGGAAAAGCT